CGGCAATAACATGGAGGCATTGTTTACCACTTGCCAGACTCCGTAGGGAGATATAAAATTCTGCCAGAGCTTTGCAGTTCTCAAGGGGAGGTTTCTTCAGGGAAACAGAGCGTTCAGTGCTGAGTGTCATACTAGCTTTCCAGAGTCAAAAATACATAGGTTTTTTTTTTTTTTTTTTGAAGTGGGGAGGGAGTTGTCCTGAGACTGTGATTCTTCATCTAATCCAGACAGATCGGAGGCTGTTGCTTTTTGGTATAAATGTCCCCTCCCGTGTCAGGCCTCCCCCTGAAGAAGCATTGGGTGAGATGAAGGAAGTACCAATGTAACGCTGCCTGGCTCCTTATCCGTAGCACAGCAGCTGGCACCCGTCTCCCACCCCATTTCCAAATCTCAGAGCAGCTGGATCTATGGGCTTGGTCATGCTCACTCCCACTTCAAGGGAATGTGACTGGCTTGGGACCAACGTTCATAAAGACATGCCTCCCGAACTTTCTGCGTTTTGAAATCGACTATTGAGCCCTTCTTCCTCATTTTTCTTTAACAAAAGTAAAATATGGAATTTTAAAAAAGTGTTTGGAGTGGGGTAGAAGAATAGAATTCTTTATTGGCCTCCATACCTCCATAAAAAAGTGCAGGTAGTCCTCAACTTACAACTCACGACCACAATGCACACCAAAGTGCCTACCGTCCCTGTCCTATTGTTTCTTTTATTTTTCTTATATATACGCATTTCTTGTATTCATAACTATGTTTATCCTCATACCTATTATCTTGTAAGTGATTGACAAATCAAATAAATAAATAAATAAAACAATTGAGCCCAACATTTCTGTTGCTAAGTGAGAGGGTGAAGTGAGTTTTGCCACATTTTTATGACTTTTCTTGCCACCGTTGTTAAGTGAATACCGCAGTTGTTAAGTTAGTTACCCAGCTGTCAAGTGAATCTGGCTTCCCCATTGATTTTGCTTGTCAGAAGGTCGCAAAAGATGATCACATGATCGAGGGACACCGCAACTGTCATGAGTCAGTTGTCAAACATCTGATCACGTGAGCTTAGGGATGCTGTAGTGGCTGTAATTGCAAAAATGATCATAAGTTACTTTTTTCAATGCCGTTGTAACTTTAAACGATCACAAAACGAACTGTTGTAAATCGAATATTACCTGTAGACAATCAGTTTTAATCCATTTTTTGTTTTCCTAGGCACCTTGGGGAAGACCCAAATCTTTTTTGTTTTTTACCTGGTCCTTCATTTTATTTTATGAGCCTCGGTGGCGCAGTTGTTGGAGTGCAGTACTGCAGGCTACTTCTGCTGCCTGCTGGCTGCCTGCCTGCTATTTGGCAGTTCTCACCAGGCTCAAGGTTGACTCAGCCTTCCATCCTTCCGAGGTGGCTAAAATGAGGACTCAGATTGTTGGGGGCAATATACTGATTCTGTAAACCATCTAGAGAGGGCTATAAAGCGGTATATAACTCTAAGTGCTATTGCTATTGTTAACAAGACCATCCCTGACTCACTGAGTAATTGTTTCACATATGTTTCCTGCACATTAAACTGCAGAACAGAATGAGCAGAGACAGACAAAAAAGCAATGGGTGCAGGAGCAACTTCCAACTTCTTGCAAATTTCCCCCATTGAGTTTCCTTGTAGATAACTGGCAGGGAATATTGAAATGATTATCATGTAACCACAACTGTCTATGGTAGCTTGGTAGCTGCAACTTTATCAATTTCAATTCCAGAGGAGTAAAAAGTCCAGACTTTTGACACCTTCTTTAAGTGATGCATTGTTTTGCCCAATTGAAGATGACAGACAAACATACAAGTAGTGTACAAGTGGTTCTCAGCCAGTCCTTGAGGACTGAAGATTTGTCCTAAAATGAATACAAACTCCAGCTCCTTTGTAGTTGCAATGATGGTTTATTCATTAGATTATCAAACAACAAATACTCTTATCTGACAAGAAAGGCTAAAAAGTTAGTGTTGAGTTGAATTTGCTTTTATTACCATTATCATGAGATACATCCCACCACACCCAGCCCTATACTCAGTTCTAGTTCTGGCCACACCCAACCCATTATCCCTAAATGCTATTAACCCTATGACATGTCTACATCCCTACCCTATTCCAACCCTCACTAACTGATCCCCACCCGGTGCCACCTTCACTATGTTTTAACCTAAGGCATAATTACCACCTATATGTGCCCTTTTAACATTATGCACCACATCAATACATGAAAAGAGCTATTTCCAGCCCCGCAGTAACTTCAGACTCCATCCTGCAGCCCCGCAGTTGCTTCAGGATCCATCCAGCAGCCGACAGCTCTGCTGAGTCATTCCAAAGCAACACCATCGGCCAGCACACCAGCAGAAATACAGATCTGGCAGCAGCAGAGATAAGGTGACATTCTCCTTGGCCAGCTGGCTTGCTGCAAGGCGTGTTCAGAGCTGATGGGCTCCGTAGCGAACTCAGAGCCCAACAGTAGTATGTAGTAGTAGCATACAACACACTTGTTATTTCCTGTACAGGTAGTCATCAACTTACAACCACAATTGAACCCAAAATTTATGTTGCTAAGTGAGACATTTTGTCATGCCCCTGGTGGAGACTGACTCTGAGGGAGAGGAGGAACAGCCGACAGGGAGTGGAGGTGTGGCCGGAGATTGTGGAGGAGGCTGGGGAAGGGCAGAGGCTGGTGGAGCAGTCAGAGGAGGACCCAGGCCCATCCCCTCTCCATCCTAGGGCACGCAGGGAGGAGAGGATAAGGGAGAGACGTGGTCTACTCAGGAGGAGAGGGCCTTGATCCTCTTCATAGGCTGCAGCTGTGACAACTGGATAAGAGGACGGACATGCGTACGGGCGAGCACTGGAAACAAAGTGTGGAAATATCTCTAGTTTATGGTTCCTCTCTGAGTTTGGCATCCTTCCCAGTGTGTCTTGTGTTATCTGTGGACGTCCTCCAGCCCTTATCTTGCCTGGTTTGTGTTGCCTTTTCCCTCCTTCTTGTAACTGCTTGTGTGGCAGTTTTTTGTCTCCAGTCAAGGATATTTGAAGCTTGGAAGCAAAGTGAAGGAATAAAAGGGGCTTCAACAGGTTTTTGTGACTGTGTTTATTTTGTATCCCCACCCTGGGTCATCACACATTTGTTAAGTGAGTTTTGCCTCATTTTACGATCTTTCTTGCCACAAGTCGTTAAGCAAATCACTGCAGTCGATAAGTTAGTAACGGGGTTTGTTAAGTGAATCTGGCTTCCCCGTTGACTTTACTTGTCAAAAGTTTGCAAAAGGGGGTCATGTAACCCTGGGACACAGCAACGGTCATAAGTATGAACCAGTTGCTAAGCATCTGAATTTTGATCACACGATCATGGGGCAGCTACAACGGTTGTAAGTGTGAAAAATGGTCATAAGTCACTTTTTTCAGTGCATTGTAACTTTGAATGGCCACTAAATGAACTATTGCAAGTCGAGGATGACCTATATAAATACAGTGCAATAAAATGGTTGCTCATGATTATTCTTCCAAATCTATTGGGTGAAGGGCATTGGGCAGTTACTTCAAACCTCTCGATAGGCAAGTTATCCAACCACAGCAACTGGGCAGGAATCAGCATCTGGTATCTTTGGCAGTGGGCAGAACCATCACTACTGCCAGCTTGGCCTAGGGCCAGTGATGGTGAACCTTTTTGGCACTGAATGCCCAAAGTGCGTGCACGCATACCCAAAATGCAAAGCACCCCATTGTGCATGTGCACACCCCCGCATGCACCCCATCCCACACACATGCGCCATATCCCCCCTGCACATGCACAGCAGAGACCCAAAGACCAGCCGGCCGGCAGGAGGCATGGGCGCATGCATGGTGGAGCTGAGCTGGGATGACGGCGCGCATGCCCACAGAGAGGGTTCTGCATGCCACCTGTGGCACGCATGCCATAGGTTCACCACCACGAGCCTAGGCTAACAGCAGTTGTAGTCCAAAATATTGGGTTACTAAGGGGAACTCTTTAGGATTCAGAATGTTTTCTTTAGTTAAAAAATAAAGATAACAAAAAAGAAGTTTTTCTTTCTCTTTGTCAGCCTAAAAGAAACTTCGGTATTTGGGTATCTTTCTGTCAGTCGGTGTTGAAAAAAACCTGGCCATGGGCTTGTGTATCAACCTTCACAAGTTTATGCATCAGTTTCCTCATATACATTATGTGGATGTTTGTTAAAATGCATCTGGAAGAAACTGGGTTGGGGAATACTGGTTTTATTCTTCAGAGATAGAATATATCTCCATCTCAGAGTATAACAATGCAATGCTTTTCACTGCTGTGAATGTTCCAAAAGCAAAATGTTCCATAAGCTTGGGGGATGTTCCTATAAGACATTTTTTGTCCAATGCACCATCTGCGTTCTTATGGCCCAAATCAACATCAAGTACCAGGACATGGTGAAATTACTGGAGAATTTTTCAGTATTTCTAGACATTCCATTGCTGAACTGAGGGTTCTTAAAAGTATCAAGGGAGAGTTGGAATGAAAATTTGAGGAATTGAAGCTCACTAACCAAGCAAACAATATCAGGCTACAAGCTAAAGGATACACTGCTCATGTTTAAGGAAATCATTCAGAATACCTTGTCATTACACTTGGACTCAGTATTTGAGAACAAGGGCTATATATAGCTTGGTAGTACAGCTCATAGCGGCCAGGTTTAGTTGCTGGAATCGCCAAATTAGTCTGAAAAAGATTCTGGGTGAAATCCAAGAATGAGCTACTATAATTTGCCAGCAAAACTCTGGGCAACCACAGTAATTATAGTTTCTTATTTCCCTTCACGCCCATCTAGTGGTTGTCAAGATTTTTGCAGTCTACATAAATAATGCTCTTCTGGCAGAGCCTTTGATAATATGGAATATTGGCCTGATTCAGTATCTTCTTATTCTCCTGTTTTTGTCCATCAAACGATTAAGTTTGGTTGTGGTTAACACTGAGTTACTTTTCCTTTGGCAGGGACTGGTTCTCAACAAGCTTGGGCGAAGAAATTTGGCTCAGAAGGTTCTTCAGGATGCAGTCCAGATACAGAGTACCAGCCACAAAGCCTGGAACAGCCTTGGAGAAGTCCTTCATGCTCAGGGCAAAAATGAAGCTGCTGTTGAATGCTTTCTGACTGCTTTGGACCTTGAATCCAGCAGCCCTATAATTCCATTTACAGTTATTCCAAGAGAATTGTGAATGTTTAGTATTAACTCATCAAATGTGTTCTGTGGAGAAAGTTTAGGTGATCAGCAGTCAGTTTGTGTGTGTGTGTGTGTCTGTGTCTGTGTGTCTGTGTGTGAATAAAGAAAAGCTTTATTCATGGTAATGATTCTGTTTCAAGAATATCACATTTTCCTTGTACTCAAAGCTCAAGATAGCTAGCTAGTTGATGGAAAATGTTACTCTATAGCAGGGGTGTCAAACTGGCAGCCCACAGGCAGGATGCATCACGCAGAGGCCACGCCCAACCCAGCTCTGTGAAGGGGGGCAATTGTCGCAAAACGTCATGTGACGGCAACGTGATGTGGCAAGTTTGACACCCTTGCTCTATAGCAACTAGACCTGTTGCAGTTTGAAATGCTGTCTAGGTACAGTGCAGACTCAGCTGCAGCTATGTATGGGAGCCACAAGAGGCTCATATTCTTTTAATCTGCTTCTTACCTTTTACTGCAAGGAATCAATGGTGGATAAGTGAAATGTCTCTCAAGCATGGGCTGCACTTAAGCCTACTGGTTTTCAAGTCTACTTTACAATGTGATTATGCTAGTACTTAATGGATAATATTTGTGGTATAAGCTGCATACATCTCTGTTCTTTGTGATGTTTCCATCCATTGAAAATTCAGTGCAAGAAAACAAAAACTTTTAAAATTCACTCTTGGCACAATACTTGAGCTGTGACCACTTAAGCTGATTCACTACCAGATTCTACCTTAGTTCGTACGTAGCATTAAGCTATAACATATCTGTTTGGTTGGGTTATTTTGTTTTGCTCTGGAGACTATTTTCGATCTCCCATTTGAGATGTCAGTTAGTCAGACTTCCAAGAGGCATTCTCACGGCACTCTTTTAAGACTTATAGACTTTAGGAAATATATGATTTTAAAAGGGTGAGAATGTCAGGTGAACACATTCATTCTTTGCCTTAAATTATTGTGGCATAGGATATAAAAATAGAATTAAATTGGAGAAAATAATAGGCATTTCCAGAATACCGATAGAGGAGAATATTTGTAGATCAGGATTGAACTGTGAGGTCCCAGGTGCTCTGGTAGCTTGGTTGTTTCCTTGCCCTGTGAGGGGAAACCCCTTGGATATAAAATGAGAGCAAATTCCACTCCCTACTAATACTGATTATGTAACCTAGTTTAGTAAGGAAACATCTGCAAGAAAACCAAGTTCAGAGAGCACTGGGTACCCGGTATTTCCAGAATATTTTATTAATAAAATTAGGGCAGCTCAGTTTTAAAATTTCAGCAAGGATTTTGTTCTAGACCACAATAAGTTTTGGGACATTAAGACACAAGGCTACTGCTTGAGATACTGACAGAGACACATCTCTTACAATATCTTCTTTAAGAGTGTTGCACAAATGCTCCATAGCTGGGGATCATTAGAGCTAAAGATAAATCATTGAAAAGTCACCAAAATTGCTTGTTACAAAGAGTGTACCATGATGGACGCATTGGGATGCGCAAGGGACAAAATTATTACATAATTTGGGACCTAGGGGTTTGGGACCTATTGTAGAATATTACAATGGTCTGTGAGTCTAATTTGTTAAATTTTAGGCTAAATCAGTTTTGTTTGTGCTCAGGGATGTGTAGAATAAAAGTATAGGCATCTGTGCAAGCACAGTAACTAGATATAACTGTAACTTCTTGGTTCTTTGTATCATTTTATCCTTTTGTTCCATTAGTAGTACATGGCACAAATAACAACATGTTATTCCATTTAAATGACTTCTTGCCTCTTAAAATTTTCTTTTCAGTTTAGAAAGACAGTCTAGAATAGTCCTTTTATTAATATTTCAGTTACATTGGTATTTACTTTTAATTACGCTTCTGTGATCATTCTGACTGATCTCATGTACTTACCTGAGCTAGTTCATTTTCCCATAAAATATACTATCAATAACTGGATTAGATAAGATAGGTGTAAGCACCTATGATATGGCTATCCAAATTTACCTGCTGCTGCTTTCTTTTTAAATCTCAATTTAAAATAGAATTGGGATTTTTTTTAGTCTTTAGGATAGAAATCATCTCAAAGTTCCAATTTTTAGAAGATAAAGGCCCTATTTTATCTCGTGCATAATCAAGGTGCTGATTAAGTAATACAAGACTTGAATTTGGATAGCACAAACATTTGGTAGAGTACTGCATAATCAACAATTTTTCCAGGCTATATTCCTCACATACAGGACCTTCTTCAAATGTCCTTTCTCCATTATTGCCTCAGTGGCAAAACTAGGGTATTACAATTAATGTGCAGGAAATAACTAAGGCTTACTATGGCAGTGATGACTCATCACCTGACAACCACCATTTCCCCCCTTGGTAACCCGGTAAATAATACCGCATCTTCATAAAGCAGTGCTCCAGTGAAAAATAGGTTGAGGTTAAAGAAGCAAACACAAATCAGGATCTAGACATTCTTGGATATTTGTTTATTAGCCAGTAAACTTCACATTTGTGCATAACACCCTCAGTAGTGTTTAATTGTTATGAAACTTTTCATATACTGTGTAGTAGTATACATAAAATATTGAATCCATTAAACTCTGAAGATTGGATGAGTTTAAATAATTGCAATTTGTTGTATCAGCATAGATGCTATCTTATTTTATTTACAGCCAACTATTCTGGAAACTATTACTATTTATTTATTGAGAATATTATTTGGGCACTCTTCAGCCAGATATGGTTTTGATGACAAAAAGCAAAGTTATACATATTTGTATAACTAGTTATTACAAATCCATTCCATTACTTTATATAAGACTTAGTCAAAACTACTTTTTGTTGCAGTGTGTTTTTGCGAAGGAGAAAACTTACCATCCCTGCCAGGGATGGGTTGTTTTATGGGGTTTTATTATATAAATATGTTAATGGGTGGATGGATAAGTGGATGGATGATAGACAGATAAACGTAACTGAACTACATCTTACTAGGTGAGGCCACTTTGAGTTACAGTTCAGCAGTATCTGGAGAGTCATAGATAGCCACTCCATCTTAGAGAAAGTAGAAAAACATGAAAATTAATTAACTATGTAAACATGATTAATTAGGAACTTTTCACTGATGAATATGTGGGGCTTGAAGGTCATTAGTTGCTTAGAATACTTTGGTACATTATAAACAATTTCCCCTTTTGCTCTTATGTCCATAATTCTCCAAGAAATACTACATCATACCATATTTCATTTGGAAGCCAGTCTGCAATGCCTTTGAAATTTGATATGCCTTTTCACAATGAGACATGACAACACTGAGTTTGAAACAGCTTTCACCAGATGAATAAACAAATCCAGGGAGAAAGATTTGTTGTGCATATAAGGTCATTTCCTGCTGCTTCTCATTCTTTGCAAATTATTCATCAATGTTCACAAATCAAATCCTGAATGATGCCTACTTGTTGCAAAAGACAATTTAGGATATTTCTGTGGGGTTCATTCGGAAGGTATCCTATCCAGGAAGAATCAAGGTTGGTACCATATTATGGAATTGAACCATGGAATCAGAAGAGACCATTTAAAGTCCAGTATCGGAATTCAAAGGACCCCTGATAGGAGACTGTCTGGTTTCTCTTTAAACACTCATGGAGTCCTCCATCTTTTTGAGTAATTATTTACACAATCCAATTTATAATTGCAAACTTTTCCAGCATTAATTTGGCATATGCAGTTCTTTTATCATAAATATGTTGTTTTGTGCTCTATCTACTAAGCTAATAAAGAATTTGGCCTTCTTTAAAGTGCTTTCAATTATTTGAAGAATGCTATCATATACCACTTCAATTTCTTAAGGTTAAATATTTCCAGTTTATGTAATTGCCAGTCATAGCTTTTAGTTTCTACTGCACACTCTGATCATTCTTACTACATTCTCTGAACTTGTTCCAGTTTGTCTTGAGTCCTGTAAGTATGAAACTGAAAATTGGATTTAATACTGGAGGTAAATTCTGATCAATGCAGCATAACCTGATACCAAGTTTCATACGATTTGGACTATACTTATGTATACTGAATTTGCCTTTTTGACAGCCAAATGGAACTGCTACTCAGTTTGTAATAATCCAGTATTCAAAAATCCTTTTCACAATTAAAATTACCAAGCCAAGTGATTCCTATCTTATGCATGGTGTATTTAATTTCTGTTATTTTAATCCCACTTCTCTAATCTTTCCAGATTATTTTGAATTTTATTTCTGCCTATGCAATTCATTTTGTGTTCTCTGCAAGTATATAAGCATTTCCTTTCTTCAGTCAACTCAAGACATTAATAAAAATACTGAAAAGTAGAGGAACCAGGATTGAATCACATGGCACCATCACTATTTCTCTACAATTTGATGAGGAACCATTAATATGCTTTTCAGACTACCTATGTGTCACTTATCAGTAATGCCACTAAATTCACATTTAACTACTTTGCTAATTACAAAATCATGGAATACTTTTTAAATTGCTTTTCTGAAATCGGAGTATATTACGTTTACAGCATTCTTATAAACTACCGGTATTACAAAAAATGCACTGCAAAAAATTAAATAGTTCTTTTGACAAGTCTTGTTCTTGACATATTTTTTGCTTACCTCTGCATTGCTTATAAAACATGTTCTGATCCAGAATGTTTTCATATACCAGTGTTAACTTGACTGAATGACAGCTCCCTAGATCCCCCTTTCCTTTCTTTTTGAAGACGAGTCATTTACTCTTTTCCTGTTGTTTGACACTTTACAGCATATTTATATTATTACATTATTACATCACATCTTCAAACTTGGCAAGTTTAAGACTTGTGGACTTCAACTCCCAGAATTCCTGAGCTAACATGACTGGAGGAGGAATTCTGGGAATTGAAGTCCACAAGTCTTAAAACTATCAAGTTTGAAGACCTGTGATGTAAGGGGTCAGCTGAATCCCATCAGTAAGTTCCTTCATTATCCTAGGATGATAGTCTTCTGGCTCCAGAGATTTAAATTTACTCAGAATAAATGTGATATTTCTATCAATCCTGTTCTTCATTCTGCTCTTCAGAATTATCAGATGAATGTATGTTCTCTCCAGGGGTGGGATTCAACCGGTGTAACTACCGGTTTGGTAATTACATTTTGCCATACATGCACTGCGCATGCATGTACTACGCCGTAAGCTGTGCCACCCAGACAGCTGATAAGCGCTGCGCGCAGGTGCGCAGCATTTGAAAAAGCACTTTTTTACTGCTTTTTCAACCTCACCTGTGCCGCACAAAGCAGCTGAGGTTGAAAAAGCAGGAAATAAAGTTCAGGTAACAGCCCGGGCAGGCGGGTGAGCCAAAGAGCAGCAGACACAGAACCGGTTCTGTGTCAACTGGTTCTGTGTCTGCTGCTCTTCAGAGCTATTGGTTCTACAGAGCCGGGCAGAACTGGTAGCATCCCACCCCTGGTTCTCTCCTAAAAGAAGACATTGCTCTTATATGTATCTTTTTCTTTTTAGGCCTTTATTAAATTTGAATGGACAACTACATTGCCTTCTTCAGAATTCACATTTTCCTTATTAGGATTACTTTTGCTTTTAAATTCTCTATTTTAAGATGTCCCATCTATCTTTGCAGGGTCCCTTTCTTTGTGAAATCACACTGACTGTTTTTGCAGTCTTTCAGAAGAACTGTGCCTTACATCAGGATTTTTATAACTGTTCTGCCGAAATATAGTATCCCTGAGAATTTGAGGGATTCAATGAGACACTACAGGGGGAAAAAACCTCATCATTGTTTGGGAATGAGAGTGCACACAAACAAAACCAATGTTTTATAGATGGCACCTTCCTCCCTCGAGACTAGCGAAGATGCACCCCAACATGAGTCCAAATTGCTGGAAGTGCAAAAAAAAGGACGGAACATTCTTCTATATGTGGTGGTCTTGTACAGAGGCTCAAAATTTTTGGCAGAAAATTAGAAAATGGTTGGAGGAAATGACAATAGATCGAATTCAAACCAGAATTCTTTCTATTAGGGATCTTTAATAAACAATTCCCCAAAAAAGTGAAGTATACAATAATACATATTTTGACAGCGGCCAGATTGGCTTTTGCACAATGTTGGAAACAACCTCATGTTCCATCAGAGGAAATGACTATTCAAAAAATATCAAGTTGTGCAGAAATGGACAAATTAACTTTGGCATTAAAAGATAAAGAATCATCGATGTATTACGACAGTTGGAACTGCTGGTATTTATAAATCATGGAACTAACAGAACACTGCTTAATCAACACATATTTCATATACAAAGGACAAAGATACAAGCAAATTGAAGGAGCCCCTATGGGATCACCACTGTCACCCGTCATTGCAAACCTGTTCATGGAAGAATTCGAATCCAGAGCCCTGGCCAATGCCACCCACAAACCCAAACAATAAACACAGACCAAGACTCCCAACCAATCAGGATGAAGAAAAAAACATTCTGGCACAGCAGTAGGCTAGCCCCAAATTTAAAACTGAAACAACTGTAAAAGTCTGACTCACAGACGAACACAATACAGAAGCCTGATGATGGCAGATGAGATTCTGCCGAAACGTTGCTACAACTTTAAAAGCACAACTACAATGACGTGGGAAAATACCCGAACAAAGCTGAATACCATACATGTAAGTACCCACGAAAACTTAAGAAAACATATATGTATGTGTGTAGATAGATAGATAGATAGATAGATAGATAGATAGATAGATAGATAGATAGATGATAGATAGATAGGTAGGTAGGTAGGTAGGTAGATAGATATTTGTTTTCTTAAGTTTTCACGGGTACTTACATGTATGGTATTCAGCTTTGTTCGGGTATTTTCCCACGTCATTATAGTTGTGCTTTTAAAGTTGTAGCAACGTTTCGGCAGAATCTCATCTGCCATCATCGGGCTTCTATATTGTGTTCTATATTGTGTTCGACGAACACAATATAGAAGCCTGATGATGGCAGATGAGATTCTGCCGAACGCATCAAGGATTAATTGTACATATGACATAAAATAAGGATAAAAATAAGGTCCCACAAACTGTTGAGGAAATTGTTTTTAATTGTTTTCTGATTTTTCTTTCTACTCTTTTGTCTTTGTTTCCTTTCCCTTTTTCACATTTATGTACGTGTTATTTGTCTATTTTAATTGTATAATTAATAAAGTTTATTTTAAAGAAGACCAATTTTCTAGCATTAAAGTTTTGCCTTTTGATCAGAGGTTCTGGACTTTAAAAAAAAAACCTAACAGGTTCTGAAGTCAGTAAAAGTTAGAAAGCCCCAGCTTTAAATAGCACCTTTTAAAGGAACCCCTACCTTTCTTACCATTGTTTTCCTTTGTTGCCTCCAGTCTGATTGTTGCTTATTTTTGCTGTCACAGTGGTTATGATTCAAAATAGTTACTGGATTGTTCAAATGTGTTAATTTGGCTGCATCTTCTGCTTCCTCTGACCTAATTCTGGTGAGAAAGAGGTAGACAGAGATGTGATAAGTATAAATATGGTACGTGACCTAATCATGACTAAAGCAGTTCATGGGGATTCATTATACAAATTCTCCTTCAGGTTCCAACGGGGATATCCATGAGGATGAGAATCAGATGTAAATAGAAAATGCTTTCCCTTTTCCCTAACCTCATTCACAGGCCATGAAAGGAATGATAGATTTTCACCAGCTTTTTAAAGCACATATCTTCTGTTTCTCCCAAACTACATAATTACCTTCTTGTTCTCAGGGTTCCAAGTAATAAATCCATTGCAAGCAAGAACTCAGAGGCAGGTGGATTCCTCAAAGAATAGCTTTATTGGAAATATCACATTGGCAGGCGTGGGCTGCTACAGGTTCGGCCAGGTTCGGGAGAACCTGTAGTTAATGTTATGGCCTGTTCAGAGAACCACCAAATCCCACCCCTGGCTGGCTCCACCCACCCTGCCCTGCCCCTCCCACCCTACCCTGCCCCTCCCAGGAGTCTCCATGTGACCTGTTTTGGAATGTGAGGTAAGTGCAGAGCCTGCGAGGAGGCTCAGGGAGGGCAAAAATGGCCTCCCCCAGGCTCTGGAGGCCCTCTGGAGGCCAGAAACGGGCCTGTTTCCAGCCTCTGGTGGGCCACCAGAGTTCGGGGGAGCCCGTTTTCACCTTCCCAGAGGCTCAAGGAAAGCCTCCAGAGCCCAGGGAGGGCGAAAATGCCCCCCCACAATGTGGTGCAGGAAGCCAACTAGGCCATGCCCACCATGGCCACACTGACCCAGCAACTGGGCAGAGAACATGTTGCTGAAATTTTTGAAGCCCACCTCTACATATTGGGTGAAAACCAACTCTGAGGGCCCCCTTGGTTTTCATCTAATTAAAAGTAAAAGTTTTTCCTTCAACCCCAAACAATAAGTCACATGACCCAATCATTGCCATGTCTGCTGGTCTGGTGGCATCACTCCTCCTTCCTCCGGCCAGATGTGAGAACATCCTAGGTTCCCAAGAGAAACCTATTTTGACTACCCAAGCCCAGCTATCTCTAATCCCCTCACTTTATCCCTTGCTCCAGTGTGGTAGCACTGAAGCTCCAAAATGGCTTCGCCCAGGTCAGTTTCAGGGTTGACACTTGTCTTAAAATAGAAGGACTAGAGAAAATAAGATGGCCCACAAACTCACCATTTGTAAGAATAGCATGGTGGCCACATCCCCAAATTTACAATAGACAAAAGAGCTGTTAGACAACTAACCTTCTATTTGAGTGATTGTGAAATTTAAACTTGTAAAGCCAATAGTTCGTGCCTGATTAAAAGAGAAAGAATTATAAGAAAAGGAAACATATAGATCACTTGGTCATGAAACAGTTTTACCTGCATAGATTTTGTATCTCATGAATGTTTTGATTGCTACAAAAAAACACTGCATTTTTCAAAGTGACTCCCTGCGTTTGTTTTCCATCAAAACTCTGTTATAGTTTTTCCCTGACTGCTTTTATAAGAGGCAATCACTATTTCAATGTGCTACTGGCTATAATGTTTTCAGAGTTACAGTAGTGTTGGGAGTTTCTTTGTGAGTCAATGCTAGGAGAATGGTTTACATAATACATGAAGGGGGAAAATCAAGCTGGGGAACTTTCTTCTGGCACAATGAAACTACTCAACTGTAGTAAGTGTGAGAGGGATCTAGATATCCTAGTGGACTACCATTTAAGTATGAGCCAGCAGTGTGCTGCAGCTCACACAAAAAAAAAATAGTCCAAGGCTGCATCAACAAAGATCATGAGAAGTGATAGTACCACTCCAAAGAGATCCAGCTTGCAACTAAGGAGACATTTCCTGAAGTAAAAGCAATTAATCAATGGAACAGCATGCCTTCCGGAGTTGTGATGCTCCATTTTTAGAGATTTTCAAGAAAAGATTGAACAGTCTTTTGTCCGAGATTGAATAAGGTCTCCTGCCATGGAATTGAACCAGAAGACCTCCAAGCCCTATGATTCTAATTACAAGAAATTATGATGATAACAGAGAAAACTTCTTGATCCTTTCCAAAC